AAAACGGCGGCTTTCCTTTTGGTCTCCCTTCGAAGTCACTCCCAAAATGGGTGCCCGCAAAAATAAGACACACACACACACTCAAGGGAGCGGCAAGGAACGCTGACCCCGTGCACAGCGGCTAATTGAGTACTAGTGTCTCTTTTTGCAAGTGGCTCATGGCGACCCAACATCAATAAACCATGTGGAAAAAAAACCATGTCAGCCCAGTGGCCCAGCGAGTTTCAACCAACTTTTCAACTGGCTCTTTGTGGATGGGTTTCCCTTCAAAAACTTGAGCAAGCATCAATGTGTTTTCCAACTTCCAAAAGTAATTATATAGAGAATCACATACACCAAGCGAACAACACCCAAATTTGAAAACTCAGACTCCCATTCAAATCCCAACCTGAAATCAACTGGGACCCAGCCCCAGCCTGTGAGCCTGTGAGCCTGTGAGCCTGTGAGCCTGCCTCAAGCCTTCGCGCAGGAGGGTCGGGTGCCTAGGAGCCTCATCACCCTCGCCAAAGAGCTGGGCACTGTACCAAGGCATCTTGAGAGACTGGCGCGCCTGTGCTTCAGTTCCTCCCCGAGATATTGCCCCAAAAAGGGGATGCATCACGTTTCGTTGTTTTTGCGGGACCTGTATTTGGCACGCAGTTCTGATGCTACCCGTTTTCCAGGTGGTGTTCAAATGCAACCACAAGCACCTGGGGGGCCGGGCCCCAATTTTGGGCAGGCCCGGAGGCAGAATTGAGGGAGTTGACAGTGCACAAGTGGCAGCAACTGTTGCTGACCCATTGTCAAGATACGCATATAATATTTGTGTATATTCTGCAGACACATATCTATATCTATATACCAACACTGTATATATATATATATATATGCCGGTCTCTCACATATGAACAGTACATATGTACACATATATGTTGTATTTGCAAAACAAACATGCAGAAACATAAACAAGTCAATATATGCATATATATATAGATAGATACACACACACATACGTGACACGTGTCACCGTGGATTTCTAGCTGAGAAGTCTGTAGTTATTGATGCCCAAGCGGTGGACTGCGCAGAGCCACACTTTGCAGAGAGGGGCGAGGGATGACACAAGAAAGCCCTATTTGGTTCACCAACTACTGTGGGTCCTGCACCATTTAAGAAACGTTGGGAATGATGATTCCCCCTGTAAATACCAACAAACAATGGTTGACCTTGTTGCCCCGGGGTCATTCTGTTGCTTCCTTTTACCATGGCAATTTAAAAGGGCCCTCCAACTCAAATGAGAGTTGTTCAAACAGGCATGCCATTTGTTGGATTTTCGTGACGCCCAAGTATAAATGGCACTGCGTCCAACATCCGGCCCTTTCGTTTTGAGCAACGCTCAATGTATGGGTGGAAAATACAAAAAGCGTCTCAGCTCAGAATCTTCGGGGTTTAACGAGTCATTTTAGTCAGTCCTGTGGATGCTGGCAGCTTTGGCGGTAATCTGAGTTTGAGCATCAGTTGAGCGAATTGATTCATGACCTCGCAAAGGGTTTTGGTTGGCAACACAAATATATGAAGTTTCCCTTACATAGGGATGCTTTTCATTTCTTGGTTGATGACTCACTATGTGAATTACTAAGATCACATTGGCAAGGCTCCACACTTTCCGATGTGACAATTTCCACTTTGACGTACGGAAGTGGAGGAGTGATAAACGTCTAGGAAGATCCAAGGGATCTCCTTCGCTTGAGCAGGACGGTGGTGTTGCTGCACATTGCCTACTCAGAAGAGCCCTTTGTCGTTGAGGAGGAGCAACTGACTGCGCTTGTCCACATCATAATTTACTCCAACTTGCTGTAGTTCTGTTTTTTTGTGTCAAAAGGCGGGGTGTAACTCAACTATTCAACGGGCACTGTACCCTTTCAGGCCGATTTTAACAAGTTTCTTGATTCTTTATGGTTTTACATACATGCCCAACCTATCTGCTGTTCGGGGAGCACCCTAAAAGGGCTAGGCGGGTTTGGTCAGAATTAGAATGTGTTCGGTTTGGGACAAGTTGATTAGGTTTGGGTCAATTTGATTCTGCTTGGGCTAAGTTGACCATTGCGCATAGGTGGGTGTCAAGCTTGGTTTACGGCCCAGGCACATTCAGATCAATTCGCCTGGGGTCAACAGTTCGAAATGGCTACACTAAGCCATTTCCCGAATTGTCCCACCCAGTGGATCCCACTTACCTGTATGGGTCTGCCATGTGTCTTTGCGTTTTGGATTCCTTTTTTTTTTTTTCGGCTTCTAGGGCGAATTGCAAGGCAACACGTGCGACCTCGAAGGTCTCTTTGAAAGATCATAGTGGAAAGCGGAACTGCTCAAGATCGTCGTTTTCCAAATCCCGCCTCTCCACATTCATTAGCAGGAAGCTACTAGGGGTCGGATAAGGGGCAGACCCTGGCCATGTCCCACAGAGTGCCTGTAGCACAGCACGCCCAGCCATTTTCCGAGTGCACTCAACACCCATTGCTCGGCG